ATGAATTTCGTGCATGAGGGTGGGGGGTGTTCCTCAGCCCGGCCTGCACTCTCTCCAATCTGGGACCCCTTGAAGGATGTCCTACTGCTGGTTTACAGGGATCAGGCCTAAACCGGCAGTCAGACATCCCTCTCACAATCCAGGACTGCTGGCTCCAGCCACTTGCCTGCCTGCCCCTAACCAGTCTGTCTGCTGGCCTGCCTGCCCCCATGCCCCAAGGTAACCCCCACCCTGATCCGGGACACCCTTCAGGGCAAACCAGCTGGCCCCAACCCGTGCACCAGGCCTCTAACCTATCTAATAAAAGAGTAATATGCAGATTGACCATCACTCCAACATACAATGTGGCTTCCCCCATGTGGTCAAAGATCCTGTTCCTATGTGGACACAAGATGGCCAGCAGGGAAGGGTAGTTGGGAGGGACCAGGCCTGCAAGGGAAGGCTGTTGTGGGTGACCAGGCAAGTAGGGGAGAACAGTTAGGAGGTACCAGGCCTGCAAGGGAGGGCAGTTGAGAGGGACCAGGCCTGCAAGGGAGGACAGTTGAAAGCGATCAACCCTGCAGGGGAGGACAGTTAGGGGTGACCAGGCAGGCAGAGGAGGGAAGTTGGGGGCAAACGGGCTGGCAGGGGAGCAGTTATACATCAATCAGGCTGACAGGGGAGTGGTTAGGGGGTGATCAGGCGGGCAGGTAGAAGCAGTTAGGGGCAATCAGGAAGGCAGGCAGGTGAGTGGTTGGAAGCCTAGATTGTGAGAGGGATCCCAGATTGGAGAGAGTGCAGGCTGGGCTGAGGGATAACTCCTCCCCACATCCTCGTGCATGAATTTTGTGCACCAGGCCGCTAGTCTTGAATATATATCTATATCTATAATAAAAGTATAATATGCTAATTAGACCGGGCATCCTTCCAAATGACCTTCATGACAAAGCCAGGGCTACAGCCGCGGGATCGATGCAGCCACGCTGCAAAGGCCTACTCTGCCACAAATTTTGTGCATCAGGCCTCTAGTATGTGTGTATATATATATATATATATATATATATCTCCTATATAATAAAAGCCTAATATGCTACTGTCCAGTTGTCCGTTCAACCAAAATGTAATATGCTAATGATATGCTAAAACTGCTCAACAACTTGCTATGATGTGCAATGACCACCAGGGGCAGACAGTCAACTGGTCAACCAGTTGTTATGCTATGCACTGGCCACCAGGGCAGAAGCTCCGACTGGCAGGTTAGCTTGCTGCTGGGGTCCAGCTGATTGGGACTGAGGTGGGCTAGACATGCCCTGGAACCCTCCCTCAATCCCTCCCCGGCCCTAATTGTGCACTGGTGGGGGTTCCTCAGCCTGGCCTGCACCCTTTCACCATTTAGGCTGAGGGACACCTCCCCCAACTACACAAATTTCATTCACCGGGCCTCTCGTGTGTATGTGTGTGCACTTAATGGAACCAAAGTTTATTGGGAGAAGCTCTGGAAAAGGAACAGCTAGGGTTCTAGGAGCAGGCCAGCGTCCAGAGAATTCCTGTCCATGTTACAGTCGGGAATTGTTTAACATCCAAACTAAAGTCTAATAGTTCATGTGTGGAGGCCCACATGACCATAACCACATGGGCACAGGGGATGTGTTCCCCACAACAAGAATGTCAGATATCTATTGTGTGCTGCATGAGGGGGAGGGAAGGCAAAGGCTATATTTTTAAAAATATGTTTTATTGATCTTTAGAGAGAGGGGAAGTGAGAGAGATAGAAACATCAGTGAGAGAGACACATAGATAGGCTGCCTCCTGCATGGCCCCTACTGGGGATCAAGCCTGCAACCCTAGCATATGCCCAGGCTGGGAATCAAATCAGGGACCTCTTGGTTCATGGGTCAATGCTCAACCACTGAACCACACCAGCCGGGCTTGACTGCTATATTGATTTTAGGGACGTTACCTAGCTTTTCCCAGCTTTACTATTCTTATCTGTAAAATGGAGATTAAAACAGTATCAAGTAAGATTACTCTGAGGATTAAATGAGATAATACTTTAAGTACTTAAATAAAAGTACTTAGCACAGTGCTAATCCCTCCCAAAAAAATAGTATATAATAGATATGTTATTAATTTATTTTAAAATATATTTTTATTGCCCTAGCTGGTTTGGCTCAGTGGATAGAATGTCAGCCTATGCATTGAAAGGTGCACATGCCCAGGATGTGGACTCAATCCCCAGTAGGGGCGTGCAGGAGACAGCCAATCAATTATTCTCTCTCATCAGGGATGTTCCTATCTCTCTTCCTCTCCATTCCTCTCTGAAATAAATATGTTTTTTAAAAAATACATTTTTTTATTGATTTCAGAAAGAAAGGGAGAGGGAGAGAGAGAGGAACATTGATGAGAGAGAATTATTGATCGGCTGCCTCTTGCACAGAGGATCAAGCCTGCAACCCAGGCATGTGTCCTGATCTGGAATTGAACTGTGCCCTCCTGGTTTATAGGTAGATGCTCAATCACTGAGCCACACCAGCCAGGCTGTAAGTTATTTTTAAAATTTATATTACCACAAACTAGCAATTGGTGTATTAGCAATGACAAATTAACAAAAAGAACAGTATTATTTGCTTTTTTTTAAAACAGATTTTTTAAAATATATTTTATTGATTTTTTTACAGAGAGGAAGGGAGAGATATAGAGAGCTAGAAAGTTCGATAAGAGAGCAACATTGACCAGCTGCCTCTTGCACACCCCCTACCGGGGATGTGCCCACAACCAATGCACATGCATGCCCTTGACCGGAATCGAACCCGGGACCTTTCAGTTCGCAGATCGACACTCTACCACTGAGCCAAACCGGTTCGACTATTTGCTTTTTTTTTTTTTTTTAATATTAAGCTTCAAATTACAAATGTTATAAATTGTAAATTTAGCTGAAAACCCGGGCATGCCTATTTTGAAGAAAATTTTAATGTTTTTTTAATAAAAATATTTGGGGTTTGGTTAAACTTAGTAGCATTGAACAGAGTTTGCACTTTAGAAATTAAAGAAGTGGCAAGTGTACTGGAGAAAATGCTAAATGAAAAACAAGCCCTAGCTGGTTTGGCTGAGTGGATAGAACATTGGTCTACGGACTGAAGAGTTCTGGGTTCAATTCCACTCAGGGGCACATGCTTGGGTTTCTGCCCCATCCCCAGTAGGAGGTGTACAGGAGGCAGCCAATCAGTGTTTCTCTCTCATCATTGATGTTTCTTATCTCTCTATCCCTCTCCCTTCCTCTCCGTAAAAAAAACAAGAGAATATATTTTTAAAAAATAAAGACAAAACCAAAACAGTATAATTCACCAAGATCTCCTGGAGATACATCTAGTAGAGTCTTTGTTAAACTAGCTTAAGAAAACATTTCAAAGAAGCCTGCTGCTGTCCAATGTATCAGGAACAAAGTATCTAACTAACAGTGCCCAAACTGATTTATAACATAGGCTCTTCCTGCAAATAACAGGATGACACACTTAAAAAAAAAAAAAATGCAGTTTTGTGAAGGACTTAATACACATTGACATTACTAGACACCCTGGACAGAAGCAAAACTCAGAGCTGCTTAGATACTTTCACATCCTCTCCCCTCTCTCCAGAAGCCTACGTGCAACACACCATGTCTAATGGCCAAGTGGGAACCTCTCCATAGGCTCACGGCACGGCACACACCGTTTCCACGACTTTGCATCACATTTCTAGTTTCCGGCTTAGCCATTAGTAGTGCCTGGGAGGGCAAGTCTCTGCGCTGCAAGTTTTGTTTCCCATCCAACCAAACTGTGCGGAGGACCCCAGGGAGCTCTGATCCCAATCACGTCTGCTAGGTACCATCCAAAGCTTTCCCCGCGGACCGTGCCGGCAGGAGACACGCGGCTTCCCCACAGCTCACTCTACAGCCCGGGCCTTGTTCCTGTTCCACCCCAACTCGGGCTCTTTGAGGAACAACGAGGAGAGTCCCTTTCACGGAAGCCAGCGCCCCTTTGTCCCGGAACGTGGGGGGCTGGGAGGTCTGGCCCGCCAGGCGCTGTCCCGCGCGGCCGCCGCCGACAGGCGCGTGCTCGGGGCGCCGGGACCGCGAGGCGCGCGCCCGCCCGGCCACGGCCCCCGGGAAGGCGCGGGAGCAGAGCGCGCGCCGGGACCGCGGCGGGAGGAAGTGGGGGCCGCGCGGTTGGGCGTGAGGGCGCGGGTGGGGGAAGGGCGCCGTCACTTCCGGAACTTGATCGTGAAGGGCGGGGCCCTGGAGGAGCGGCTTCCGGTAGCACAAAGGGTGTCGGGAGAAGCTTCCCGCAAACCTTCTCTGGCTTCTTAAGGGTCCACCGTTGCCGCGGTTTCGGCCTCCACGGTCTGCGTTCGGGCTACACGGCCACGGCGGCGCCCCAGTGCCTTCTCCCTTGTGCCTGGCTCTGCCCCTAGTCGCTTGCAGGCGCCCGCCCGCCCGGGTTCTGGCAGCGGCCGCGGCCGACATGTTGTGAGGCGGCGGCGTGGTGTCCGAAGGATGGTTTGGCCGAGGCGGCGGCAACGGCTGCTGGCGGCGGCGGCGGCCGCGGCGGCCCCGGCTCGTTAGTGCCCAGCCCGCCGTGTGTCCGCCCGGCTCCGCGGCGCAGCCTGTGGCCCCGGACCTGCCTGTGCCCCGGCGCCGCTGGGGACCGGCGGGGCGACACGGAGGTGGTTCCTGGTGCTCAGATTCCTCACCCCCTCACTTTCCCTGCCCGACCCGACCCGGGCAGCGCTGCGCCCCGAACCCGCAGCTCCCCGGCTTCCCCCCCAGCCTCGCCCTGAGTCTCCCACGGGGTGTACCCCGTCCTCCGGTGCCAGCCCGCCCCCCTCCACTCGCTGCACCCCATTCCCCCAGCGCCCCCGGATCACTCCGAGGGCGGCCTTTTGAAAAACCCTTTGTGGAGGAGGAGTGGACCAGAACTGGGGAGGGTTTTTTTGTTTTGTTTTGTTTTTTTTTAAAGTCGAGGCGCGAGAGCTGGGAAGAGACGATGGCTTCCTCCTCCGGCAACGACGATGATCTGACTATCCCCCGAGCTGCTATCAATAAGATGATCAAAGAGACGCTCCCCAACGTCCGAGTGGCCAACGACGCCCGGGAGCTGGTGGTGAACTGCTGCACTGAATTCATCCACCTCATCTCTTCGGAAGCCAATGAGATCTGCAACAAGTCGGAGAAGAAGACCATCTCCCCAGAGCACGTCATTCAAGGTGAGTGTTCCGGGTGGGATTTCTGTTCAAACGTCAGTCGGGTGGCCGGCTTCGCGTCAAAGCCCTCATTCCTCCTCCCTGCTCGGCCGGTGCTGGAAAATGGAAAGGCCACGCGGGCATGGAGGCAGCCGGAGCCTAGGCAAGCCCCCGAGCGGCATTCTCGTGGTACTTTTCATCCCGCGGGTGCAAGTAAGGGTTTTTGCAAGCTTTTGGGTCAGCTAAAGTATTTAGTCTCAGTTTAACATCCCGCCAGGTAAGCCGAAGCAAGAACAAGAATTGTGCCTGCCTCAAGTGAAACCCAGGCATGACAAGCTGAGAAACTGCCGGCCTAAAGTGAAACGTAGCTCCCTTGGAAAACTGAAATTCAGACAGGAACCTCCAGCATGGGCAAGGGGGGAGGGGCGCCCACAGCACCCCTTTCCCACTGATCTCTCTACCAGCGTAGGGGGAAAGTTGAGTTTTCTAACCGCATGAGTAAAAAAAAAAAAAAAATTCTTCCACGTTGAATGTGTTCCACGTTGTGAAGTTTATTGGTGGTGAATAAAAGTGTGTTTCCTGCTTTAAAAGTTGTTTGATGGTCCTACCATTAATCGAGAAGTTACCGAAGAAATCCAGTTCTGTTCTGTAAGAAAAGGGTGGATATTCTTTCCCACCCTTTTATTTCTTTTATTTCCCACTCTTTTATTTCTTTCTCTCTTACTTTTCCTTCTGTGTATAGCTTCCTTTGTTCTGTGGAGATACATTTTTAATGCTTGTATTAATAGACTCTAAGAGATGTTTTTTCATGGAACATTTCCATATTTTTTTCCTGCTGCCATTCTGTTTGTCTACACTTCAACTTTTATTGGACATTTCTGAAAGTTTCAACAGTTTCTTCTCTTATAAACTGAAAAGTAATAGGGATTTGAGAAATCATATTCTGATTATTTGTTTCAGGGATGGAGAGACATGTTTACTGGTCATAATGTCTTGGGAAGTACTTGCTTATAGTCTTAGGAAAAAGTTGCGTTCAGTTTGAGGTGATAGCTTGCCCCTTATAATAATCCAATTAAAATCCTGTCAACTTAAAAAAATCCTGTCAATTTCTTGATTGCTTTTGAAGTCAGAAAAAAGGTAATAAGTTTAATGGTTAATTTTAATCATTTTGGTTGGCAAGTGGCTTGCCTGCTATTTTATTGTTATAATTTCACTTTTTAAATGGTGACTTTTCTGTTATTCTGAAGTAGAGAACACATCTGCTCATATTCCCCATATCCAATATTTTACTGTCAATATTGACAAGAGGATTAAATGACTCATTTTTGGTCCTTAATGATGTGTGAGAGGTAGATTTAAAATATACTCTGCCATTTCCACTTTAGTATATAAGCAGAAAATAGATCCCTAGGAAAAAGCATATTCCATTTTTAAGCAACTATTTTTTTTCTATTTGTTTGGTGTGCTGGATACTCTGGCAAGTAAAAGGAAAGTCAAATTGTCTATATTTCCTCTTTTTTTATTTTTATATTGTATGTGCAATTGTAAAAAATTCATCACAAGATTATCCAACATATAAAAAAGAAAAATGATCTTTTATCAACATTGCCTTTCTAATGAAAATTGCAAAAAAATTTTAAAGGATCTCCCTAAACATTTGTTGACACCACAGAAGTGGGGATCATTCCAAAAATCTAATAACACATTACAACCTCTTCTTGGGTAGAGTTTATTCTTTTCTAGGATATATTTAGATTTCTGATTGACATGATGGAAGAAAAGTGCAGCTGTAGCAAGCAGTATGTTGAATGCCTCAACTTTGGAATATATAAATTCAGTGTACCATATCAGTCAGAAAGTTCCAATGAAAACATTTTCCTTTGCATACTGGATATGGTGTATTAATTTTTTAAAAATCATGTATGGGCCTGTTATAGTCTTACCTATTTTTTCTTGTAACATTGACATGTTTAGTGGATAAGGACCTACCATTTTTGCCCAAAATTCTCCCCAGTTAGATGTTTAGATTTTATAATTTATAATGTCATATTAGTTTCAGATTTCTTAATAATTTTTAAGTATATATATATTTTGCTTAAGTGGTTACATTTTTTTAAAAGAAACATTTAATGTGTATATATTTTAGGTGTTTTAAGTGCATTTTTACAGACTAACTGGAAAGTTAGGTAAAGTCACAGTAGACACATTTTTTACCCTTTCTGTCAGCACTGATTATTTAGGAATGTTAGAACTATCTAAGTGGAATAATAATGTATATTTTAAAGTACCATAATTGTTTTAAATTTGGAATTTTAATAAGTTTAATGAACTAGCCAGTGTTTCCCAAACTTTTGACACATGTGTACCCCTTCTATAATTTTTGTAACGCTGAGTACCCCTCGTACTCATGAGAATGTAGAATTAGGCACAGCTAAGCACGATGCAGTGCATATCCCCACCAAACTCCGGTGCAACACGTACCCCCACCAAACTCTTCCCGTACCCCTGGGGGTACGCGTACCACACTTTGGGAAACACTGACGACTGTTTCAGGACATCTCATTTGTTTACTTGCTACTTTGCTTGAGTCATTTCTGTAAGATTCAAGTAAAAGTTGAAGTAATTTTATTACCAGTAAATATGTGAAGTACTATAACTTAAAATACCATAACTAAAAGTTATATTAAAATATTTTCCTAAATGTCTTGCTTATTTTGAGTTTAAGAAAGTAGACTTGGTATTGAAGATCACAGATACACAAATGGAGGGAATTTTAAGGTGCTCCTCATATTTCATTGCTGGTTTCAATGAACACATTATTCAATGAGTTCTAACATGTTCTGTTACATTATGGAAAGAATTGACATTGAGAGTCAAGAGCTGCAAGTTCTACACTGGAAAGCTTTTCATCTTAGGCAAATTTGTTAAGTGTTTCCCCATTTATGTATAAATAATACTTATTAGTTTAAGGTATAACTTGGCAGTTATTGAGAATCAGTTAAGGTTGAGAATCTTATGAAATATGCTACAATAAATAATAATTTAAAAAATTCATGTACTTCTGATCTTCTGTATATATAAAAGGCAAATATGCAAAGTGTCCCCTTGAGAGTTTGACTGCTTGCTATTATGTATGCTGAGCACCAAAAGGTTGACTCGAAATGAAGGAAGGCCCTGATTGGCTCTGATCGCTGGCCAGGCCGGGGACCTTACCCGTGCGTGAATTTCGAGCACCGGGCCTTTAGTTAAAATATAAAGCTGAAAGTCTGTTATGTTTAATCATACATCATATCTTTTGTAAAGCCAGAGTGTAAGAATATTTTAATTGATACTATTTTTTTCCTGTATTTTTAATCTCTTGCTACATTTTCTCACATTTGTGAGAATAGTAACTGAAAGTAATAAAAGTTTGAGAATTTGCTTCTTCAGCAATTGAGTTGCAATAAGCTATGTTGGGTGTCTTTTTAAAAATTCTAGTCCCTCTCATACTGGTACCTTTCTGTGGTTTTTTATTGTTGTTGTTTGTTTTTAATCCTCACCTGAGGATATTTTTTCCATTGATTTTCAGAGTGGAAGGGAGAGAGGAGGAGGGTGGGGAGAAGAGAGAGAAATATTGATGTGAGAGAGGCACATCAGTTGGTGGCCTCCTGCACGTGCCCCAGCAAGGCTGGGGTGGGACCAGAACCTGGAGTGGAGGCACATCCCCTTGACTGGGAATGAAACCCACAATCCACAGGCCAATGCTCTGACCACAGCCGGGGTTCATACTGGTACTTTTGTAAAATACAATAAAAATGGATCACTGGAAAAACAAGAAAAGGTATAAATAAAAAAAGTTTTTTTTTTGTTGTTAGAGACAATAGACATAAAATTACTCTGTCAAATTGCTATAAAGATTCTTTTTCCCTTTTGTTGAGATATAATTGACTATAACATTGTATAGTTTAAGTTGTACAATGTAACGATTAGATATATGTATATATTATGAAATGATTACCACAATTAGGTTAGTTAACACATCTATCACTACATAAAGTTTGTTTTGTTAGAAAGAAGTTTCTTTCTTTTCCTTTTTTTTAAAAATATATTTTATTGATTTTGTACAGAGAGGAAGGGAGACACAGAGTCAGAAACATCAATGAGAGAGAGTCATCGATCACCTGCCTCTTGCACACCCCCCACCGGGGATATGCCCGCAACCAAGGCACATGCCCTTGACCGGAATCAAACCCGGGACCCTTCAGTCCCCAAGCCGACGCTCTATCCATTGAGCCAAACCGGTTTCGGCTGTTATGAAGTTTCTTAAACATTTACTTTTATTTTCCATACTTAACTCATATAGGCCATTACAAGCAATTCTGGCATAAACGGACCACACTTTGAGTAGCTTTGCTTTAAAGTCTAAACCACAGTCTATTTGGAAAGTGGATGTGAAGTAGTTTTGAAATCAGGGGATCTGAGTAATTGCAGAGAAGTTGTAATAATAATGAAAATGAGAATGATACTGTATTGCTTAAATAATGGTCCATGTGGATATTTTTTTCCTAAGAGATAACATGTAATTTGCATTGCACAGTATATAATCAGTACTTTTTCAAGTTAGGATTTTATTATTTTTCTTTTTTTAAAAATATATTTTATTGATTTTTTACAGAGAGGAAGGGAGAGAGATAGAGAGCTAGAAACGTCGATGAGAGAGAAACATTGACCAGCTGCCTCTTGCACACCACACCCCCTACCAGGGATGTGCCCGCAACCAATGTACATGCCCTTGACCAGAATTGAACCTGGGACCTTTAGTCCGCAGACCAACGCTCTACCGCTGAGCCAAACCGGTTTTGGCCAGGATTTTATTATTTTTCTTAAAATTGATACTACTTTATGTTTTGTTTTTCTTCTGTCACCCAGCAATTACTTTTGAATACTACTATGTACTTGGCACTGTGCTAGATACTGCTAAGGATATAAAGGTGAATGATACTTAATTCCTGCTCTGCCATGATTCTCATTGTCCCAGATTTCCA